CACCTGCCGTCGTTTACGTTTCCCCACTTCCCGCGCCTACTTCCCCGACAAATGACTTCACGGCACTTGTTCTATCAGTTTGCATCGCCTCAGGCGAGCGAGGCGCCTGTTTGGAGGTCGTTCGGGGTGATGGTGGCCCGTGGAGTCGGAGGAGGATCTCTCGCGCAGACAGTCTCGCCCGCTGGCAGCAGGCTGGCTAGCAACAGAACAGCCCGACACTAGCGCAACTCGCACGCAACAGCGTTTTGCACCGCACGCTCGCGGCCACGGCTGTACATGTACACCTTGCCCAGTCCGCACCCCACGATGTATAGCACGTCCGCATAGTGTTTGGAATCTTTGCTTCTGTGCACCAGAGCTGGTCGGGGTCGTCTTGGGAGGAGGGCGGACGCACCAACGCGCGAAGCTTCTTAACAACTTCAGCTCGAGTCGTGCAAGAGCACGACTGCTGTCGTACCAGTAACGTTAACATACACCATGCGATGCACCGCCTGCTTTCCACTTCGTTCACGTCGGGCCCTCCTTGCCTTCACCGCCCCCCACAGGTCCGAGCGAGGTCGTATGGCGACTCGCGTTGCCGGAAATGCGAATCGCAGGCGCAAGCGCGTATAACCGCCTCCGTGAGGTACCGCGCAACCGCCGCTGGATCTCGCCTATGCAGGGAGCTTCCCGCCGCGGTCTCACCGAACCAGCCCCACATGTGTCGTTGCCGACCCCGCGCCGCCTCACCAGTCAGATGCGCTCGACTCACACGGAATGATGTATTAGTTACCCTTCCCTACTTTCACGTCACCTCATGTCTCTCTCCTTCTTCACACATCATGCCTGTTCCCTTTCTGCGTCCCGTTCCTTTCATCGGAGAAGGCATCCCGCAGAATGTCTCACCGCTACTTCTCTTGATCGTCCAGCTGTCACGGGGAGGGGAGGGACGGGAGCGGAGGGGGGCGACGAAGGAAATTGACCTGTCAGGATGTGCCGCGACGGCCTCTGGGCCGGAGCGCCCCGATTGCTTTATCCTTTGCCCCTTGATGTGCAGGAATGGGATGAGGAGGCGCTTTCCCTACTTCCCCCCACCGCCAGGAAGATAAATAAGCACCCGCGTGCGAGCCGCGCCGCGGCCTCGGGTCGGCCCTCCGGGGGGGATCTCGTTGACGCAGTAGAGACCCCCACTGCGTGCTGGATCTGTTACGGGGCGCCCATCCCGTAGAACCCCTTTCTGGATTCTGTAGCAGTTCGGAGCAGGCCAGGAGCTGCAACGGCAAACCAGCGCGACGGTCCGCACATGGGCATTCCTGTAGGCCGGAGCTTTATGAGGCGCTCCCACATGTACGTCGGCTGGCCCACCCACCTGTCAGGCTGCGACCCGCGGGCCGGTCGAATTCCCTGCATGTCTTTGGCCCCCCTGCCACTGCCTACGCGGTAGCACGAGCACCGAGAATCCCGAAGCTGGGAACACCCCGGGCACCTCGTCAGCATATGGCCCCGGTCAGCAGACAGTCCCTCGTGCGAGGTACTTCTCCAGCCCAGAGCCACGCCTGCCAGAGCCTCGTTAGCCGCGTCAACCACGTGCCGTTGGCGCCCTTCCACCCCTGAGGGCAGCCCGCGAAACCTCCGGCGAGCCGGAGGGGGCGGGAGAGGCTGCCACAGCGCCGTGGGATCGTTCCCGCTCCCCGCCAGACTTTCGTCGGTAGGTGAGGTTGGACTTTCGGCAGCAGTATGGCAAAGACATGGGTACAGCCACCTCCGAGCCTCCCCCTGCCGTGCCGCGGCCGTAGCCGGGGAGCTACCCCCACCGCCAGGAAGATAAGAGAGCACTGTTTCGTCTTAATCCCCTCTACCGTGCTGGGCTTAGCAGTGCGGGGGAGCCAGGATTGGGGGCAGCGATCTTCGATTCGACCTCGAATGCCATGAGTCAGTCAGTCAGGAGGGTGAGGGTGAGGGTGACGGGGAGGAAGAGGAAGAGGAGGAGAAGGAGGAGGACCATTGTAAATCCAAGACGCATTTAAGATGTTGCAATAAACCATCCCTCGAAGTTCCCTCGTCATGACCCCCCCATAAGAGGGTATGTTCATTTCGGGAAGTTCCCCTTTCGAAATCAAACGTCTGAGAATCCCCGATCGTGTCACAAAACCGTTCTGTGACTTCAACGCCGCGAATAAACGTGAATCTTGCGTCCTAACACTCCTGAATCAGACAGAGCACCATTCACAATATTTCAACCATACGAACCCTTGAAATTGCGGTCTAAGCTTCAAAAAGACGAAGATGCTCGCGGCGCTACTCCGAGAACACGTTCGTTTTTGAACAGGAGCCCCCCTCCCCATTCTTGAAAAGGCTGCAAGAATTGAAGAATGATGTCCGCGGCACCTGGGCGAGAACAACATCTTGCACAACACCCGCCCTCCATCCGTGAAGCATGTGGCAGCGCTCCACTTGAAAACGGATGCTCGCGGCGCCAGAGGCGACAACGACATTCTGAAAACGAACCGCCCTTCATCCGTGAAACCCTCCGTCCGTGAAGATGTGGCAACGCCCCACTTGAAAACGGATGTTCGCGGCGCCAGAGGCGACAACGACACTCTGAAAACGACCCGCACTCCATCCGTGAAACCCTCCATCCGTGAAGCATGTGGTAACGCTCTACTTGAAAACGGATGCTCGCGGCGCCAAAGGCGACAACGACACTTTGAAACCGACCCGCCCTCCTCCTCCTCCTCCTCCTCTTTTCCTCCTCCTCCTCCTCCTCCTCCTCATCCTCCTTATCCTCCTCCTCCTCCTCCTCCTCCTCCTCCTCCACCCCCTCCTCCTCCACCTCCTCCTCCTCCCTTTCCTCCTCCTCCATCCGTGAAGCCCTTGTCAGTTGAACCTCCAGAGCTGCATGGCGAGGGCGTCTCTCCGGCGGAACGCCCGGGGACCGCCCTGGCGACACGCCCTGGGGGTGCGACGTGGAGGAGATATGCACAAGGGAGACAGGATTGAGACGAGGAGGAGGAGGAAGAAGGAGAAGAGGAAGAAGAAGAGGAAGAGGAGGAAGAAGAAGAAGAAGAGGAAGGATTGAGATGAGGAGGAGGAAGACGAAGAAGAGGAGCAGCAGTGACGTTGCCGTGAGCCCATTCTTCCTCCTCCTCCTCCTCCTCCTCCTCTTCCCCACCTCCTGCACTGGTACTACGGTTGGACCGGGAAAGGGCGAGGACTCCATCCTAGTCCCGCCTCTTCCCACCCTCTTCTGGCGTGCAGGCTGCGAGCCCGAGCCGTTCGATTGAGAGTGGGCGAGCGCATGAGGAGGGGAAGAAGCCACGTGCGCTCGCGACGCATCTGACAGTCCACCCATCTCTTCCCATTGCACCGCTCGAGGTGCCCTGCAGGACCTTAATGCCAAACGGCAGTTGCATGATTCGACCCATCAGCGGCTGCGTGCTCGAAGGAGGGGCGCTTGTACGTAGGAGGAGGAGGAGGAGGAGGAGGAAGAGGAGCAGGAGGAGGAGGAGGATGCGCAGGGTGCAGATGGGCAGGAGGCGGCGGAAGATGAGGAGCATAGTCAAGGAGGAGCAGCGGCTACGAGGAAGGCGGTCTGTCCTCTAGTCATGTGTTCAAGTGCCCTTTTGTCGTATGTTAGTTCTTCGTTGAATGCGTCTACGTTGGCTCGTTGTGCGTTGTAAGTTGCTATCGTGATGTGTCGTACTGTCGTGTTGGCTTGCTAGTTGGTGTGTTTGGGTCTTATGTCGTCGGGTTGCTGCTGGTAGGTTGTTGTCAGTGGTTCGTTATGGTATGTAGTGCGTGCTGCGTGTAGTCTATATGTTAGTATCATGGGGGATGCATATTGGTCCTCGTTGTAGTCTGCTTTGTGGAGTGTCCAGTATATGCTCGGGTGGTCTACAAGAAGTGCTTGCATGGTGCCATCCGGTAGTGTGTGCTTGTTGTGGCCAGTGAAACTCATCGCCTGAGTTTGTTGTGGCATGGTGTTTTGCTAGTATGTCAGCTAGCTCGTTACATGGGTGATCGTCGTGTACATGGATGTGGTGGAGGGTGACTCGGTGTTGCTTTTATGCTGAATTGAAAATGACTTGTGCCAGTCTGGTGATTGGGCCGCTCGACTCTAGGAGTTGCGTGATTGAGCGTATTGCCTTAGCAGAGGGCAGGAGCTGGGCGGATGAAGGAGATGCAGGTGTACAAACAAAAAGGAGAGGCGTACGAGCAGGCAGCGGGTGAAGAGTGGGCAGGAGCATGGGCAAGATGAGTAGAAGATGAGTAGAAGAAGAATAATAACGATAATACTAATAATCATAACAAGAAGAAGAAGAAACATAAGACAACACGAAAGCATGCGGGAGGAGGAGGAGGAGGAGGAGGAAGGCAAGGAGGGAGGAGGAGGGAAGGAGGGGAGAGGAGAGGAGGGGAGGGGAAAGGCTATATACCACTCAGAGAAAGCGCAAGAGCCCCAACAAGAAACCCCGACAACGTTGAACCTCCCGGAGGCTCCCGGAGGCCCACAAAGGGCCCAGAAACACGCAAAGCATATGGATCCTCGATCGAAGTGGGAGGAGCAGAAGGGGCCCCGAAACGTCCAACAAGCTGGACCCGCGAGGTCGCTTCCAAAACTTCCCAGAGGTAATTAATTCCAGACGGCAACGGCGCAAATCGTGTCGCTACCGGCCCCCTCCCTCCCCTCCCCCGACCCCATCGGAAGCGCCTGTTCTCGCCAGGGGATCAAAAGCAGGCGCATCGGTCCTCGATCGACGCCGACCTCGATCCTCGGTGGCACGAGCTCCGCTCGAAATCGGTCCCTGGATTCTCCCGGGGTCTACCCTGGCCTGTTCTTCGAGCTGCGTCCAATAGTGGTGACGAGGGGGGACCCCCAGGGCAATACAAACAAAAACGAGGCACGAGGAGGACCATCCTCAATCACTCTCTCGTTGCTCCGCGATGGTCGACCGACGACGACGACGACAACGACGACGGGACTCCAGGGAACCAAGAAGCCGCAGCTGGGGGCGGCGCGCCTTGGGGTCCTCCGCAGCAGGCGTCGGGGCTCTCAACTCCTCTGCGGGGTCGCCGGCGAAGAGGGTCACCTGGTCGAGAAGTAGGGGCAGAAGGAGAAAGGCGAGGAGGAGGGAGGAGGAGGGAGAAGGGCCAGGGTAAAAGGAGAACGGCTAAGGTAGAGAGGCGATGGTACAAGGGGAAAGGCGAGGGTAAAAAGAAAGGGCGAGGAGGAGGAGGAGGAGGAGGAGGAGGAGGAGCATGTCGTCGACGAGTGGAGGAGAGAGGGGGGAGGATGAGGGGTACAAAGGGAGAAGAGGAGAGGACGCGGAGAAGGAATGTCCGGGAAGAGGAGGAGGAGGAGGAGGAGAAGGAGGAGGAGGAGCAGGAGGAGGGAGGAGGAGGGGGAGGAGGAGGTGCGGAGGTGGGGGGCGGGGTGGGTTGGGCTCACACCTTCATTGTGCTTCCACTCACCCTGGTGCTGAAGCAGCGCTGCAGGTGGACTTCGAGTGTCCCACGCAGCCTGAGGTGCGCCTGCACATATCTGCTTTCCTCTCATCCCAATCACCAAATTCAAACATAGAATCCTTTCTCGTCTCAGTATGCTCCTCATCATCATGTCCGTCCTCATCATGATGTACACCAGCAACGCAACCAGCAACACAACCATCATCATCAACACCACCACAACCATCGTCAAAATAGTCATCGTCGTCATCACCATCAACATGGCAATCATTGGCATCATTAGCACCAACATGATCATCGTCAGTATCGTCATCATCCGCATCATCGTACGGACTATCCTCATAGTCCTCGCTCCCCCTCCTCACGCCTGTCCTCCTCCTGACCCCCCCACTCCTCCCACTACTCGTCCTCCTCCTCCTCCCTCCCTCTCCTCCCTCTCCTCCCCCTCCTCCTCCTCCTCCTCCTCCTCCTCCTCCTCCTCCTCCTCCTCCTCCTCCTCCTCCTCCTCCTCCTCCTCCTCCTCCTCCTCCTCCTCCTCCTCCTCCTCCCTCTCTTCCTCATAATACTTCTCTTCGTCCCTCCATTATCCTTCCGCTCTTTCGTTCCTCACCTCCTCCCATCCTGATTATTCCCTTGCCTTGGTATCTTTCCCTCTCCTCTATCGAGGCTTCCTCCCTCCCTGTCTGCTTCTCATCCGCCTCCTTCACCTTATCCTCCTCACTGGCTGCTCCCTCTTCCACCTCCTCAGCCTCGTCCTCCTCCCCCTCCACCTCCTCCTCATCCTCCTCCTCCTCCTCCTCCTTCTCCTCCTCCTCCTTCTCAGCCTCCTCCTCCTCCTCCTCCTCCTCCTCCTCCTCCTCCTCCTCCTCCTCATCCTCATCCTCATCATCCTCCCCCTCCTCCTCCATATTCTCCCCCTCCTCCTCCTCCTCCTCCTCCTCCTCCTCCTCCAACTCCTCTTCCCATCCTCAACCGCGTCTCATCGTTACTCTTTTCCCGCTTCGTCCCCTTCCTCCTCCTCCTCCTCCTCCTCCTCCTCCTCCTCCTCCTCCTCCTACTCCCTTCTCCTCCTTTCTCCTCCTCCTCCTCCTCCTCCTTCGAACTGCGACCTATGGACATTGTCGAGCGATCGCCCCAATGCCCTCGACCCCTCCACCCAGCAGATGCTTGGGAACGGGGGGGGCACAGAAACCAACAGGTACGAGAGAGATCAAGGAGCGTGGGGGAGGGGAACGGAGTGAGGCTGTCTGTCGCGGCCAGTGCTTGGGCCCGAGCGTGGGCCCAAGCCCTTTCGGTGCGAGCCGATGCCCACTTCGGCACGCCTCCCCTGGCGCAGGGGCCCGCCTCCCCCCCCCCATCCAAGGTTCCAGAGGTCCCGAGTGTGGTGCGGTGCGGCGGCAGCGCAGCTCAGCGAAGTGCAAGCGGGGGGGGGGGCGGGGGGAGTAGCCGATGGCGCAGTGGGTGGACAGGGTGGGCGCGACAGTGCGGCCTGCGGATCGGGAAACGTGCGAGCAGTGGACACATGTAATCAGGAGGGTGAGGCGGTGAAAGTGGCCCGAGCGGAACCCGAGGAGGGGGAGTGCGAGCTCCCTCGGCGTGGCTCTTGGTGGCGGCGCGGCCAGGGTGGTCCACGGACGTCGGTCGTCGCCGGCAGCCGGTGCCGACGGTGGTCCGTCCCACCCAACCCTCCCGCCCGGTGTTCGGGTGTAGGTTAGCGGGCGACGGAGGGGGGAGGCTGCCAGGCAGGAGGGGGGGGGGAAGAGGAGGTCAGGTGGGGACTCGAGGTTCCTCAGAGGAAGCGTGAGGTCCAGGTTGTAGAGAAGGAATGGCGGAGGTGGATGCAGGCGAGCGTAGCCGTGGAGGCAGCGGTTGAGGAGGGCTCCGGTCGTCGTGGGTGTGGAGGGGGCGGCCGGCTGCTGCCTTCGTGAAGAGAGGTGAGGTGCTGCTGTGCTGCGTCGCGTTCAGCTGGTGCTGCTGCTGCTGCCGTGGTGGCAGTGAGTGCGCTGGCGAGGTGTGGTACGTATGCGAGCGAGAGTTGTGAGGAGGAGGAGAGGAGGAGGGGGAGGAAGAGGAGGAGGGAAACAAGGTCAGAGCCAGCTGAATAGTGGTGGTGCCGTCGTGGGGCAAAGCCGGAGGAGGCATGGGAAAGTTGCGCTCCGCGCGGGCAGCTGCAGCCGTAGAGGTCTGACGCATGGAGATGTGGAATTTACGCTGGTACGCCTCCCTCTGAAAGTGGACTGTACCACGGGTCCTGCAGGAAACTTACACCAGGGGTTCGGGGTTCCTCCTCCTCCTTCTCTCCCGCCTCCTCCTCCTCCTCTTCCTCCTCCTCCTTCCTCCTCATCCTCCTCCTCCTCCCCCTCCTCCTCCTCACCCTCGACCTCCTCCTTGTCTTCCACCTCCTTTCGCGCTCGGGGGGCGGATAGGGACGCCGAAAGATAGCGCGATGGGGGGGGGTGGAGGCGCAGGACAACGTGGGAGCGGGAGCAGGGGAGCGATGGCCACGAGCAGGCGGAGCTTCTCTCTGCTGTGGACAGCTGCCCGTCAGGCTTCCGAAGAGATGGAGGGACGGGATGGCTGATGTCGGGCACGCGAGGCCCTGCTTGAAGATGTAATCGCAGAACTGCCTGGCAGGAAGTATTGAAGGGACCCCAAGACACACACACACAAATAACAATATTCCAAATATTTTCCCAGATTTTCTGGGTTTCTGTCTTCCCCCCCACTTCCCACATTTTTCCATAGTTTCTGGGGACTGGAGGATGAATTGTGTCTGTGTGTTTCTTTTTCTCTTGAAATATACATATATCCAAACCGCGCTTCGTGCCATCAAAGACATTATTCAAACAAGGACGCTCTGCAACGATAGCGCCGGAATGCACAGCGACAGCAATTCCATCATAAGACCTCGCACCAAGCGCACAAGACCCGCCATGCTCAACACGAGCACGAAGAAATATGTATATATACAACCACGAGCATCATGCATACACTCCTCCTCATCGAATACATTCGGCTCCTCATGACTCTCGCCGCTGCCTCGCACTCGGGGTAGACCACGGGGCTGGTGCAAAGTTCCCGCGATTCGCGGGATGCCCCTCGCCCCCCTCACTGGCAATGCTCAACGTTTTCGCGCCGCCACCGTTGTAGTGCGACCAGAGCTCCGCCGCGCTCTCGAGCGCCTCTGCCCCGTTGACGCATTGCGAGAGCTCCTCCGCAGTGGGTCGCCGCACCTCCCCGCCCTCGAGATCGGAGCAGAGCGGCGGCGGCGGCGCAGGAAACGCCACCCGCGGGGCCTCCTGCTCCCGGAGCGCGCACTCCTCCCCGGACTTCTGAGAAACTTGCCCCGCGACGGCGGCGGCGGCGGCGGCGGCAAGGGAGCGCGCGCCCAAGGCCCTCGGGGGCAGGGACCGCCGCGTCCTTGCCCATTCTTGATGTCCCTGCGGGTGCCGCTCTCCTGCGTCGCATGCTTGAGGGCCACCGTTTTCCCCTGCGTCATGCCCAGGTAAGCCTTGCGACACGTGCGTCTCCTCTGTCGCCACCACATGCCCTGGTGCCCCTTGGCGGAAGCGGCGCACAGGGACGCCGGGCACGGGGAACCAGGTGATCTCTCTCGAAGTGCTCGGCGGCGGGGGCGCTGGCGGCAGGTGCACGACCCGTTTCGCCTTGGACACAAGAAGAACTCAATCCCACGTGCTGGGAACCTCCACCTGCCGTGCATCCTCCCGTGGAGGTGGGAGCGGCGGCTGGCTTGACAACGAAATTGATGTCCACCTCGACTCCAACGAGGACTCTGATGCTGATGTCCGCCACGCCGTTCATCCTGATGCCATAGAACCTGATGTCCGAACATGACCCATCACCGACGAGACCGCAGGCCAGGGATGCGATGAGATGCGACCAGCGTTGCGGACGGTGTCGGGGCCTTGCTCAGACAAGGCGGGCTAGGCCGTGGCCTCGAGAATATGACTTGTCTGTAGAAGTGCAATGCGAGACACAAAGAAGTTCGGAGGAGGAGGAGGGGCGTTCACTTTATGGGTAATGGTCCTGGGTGATTGCTGAATTGAGGTCGGCGTAGTGATGCTCGCGTGAAGTCCGCTCGGTATCATGGGCTGTTTGCGTCCATGTGCTGCCGTTTGGTTGTCCTCTCTCTTGGGTCTGTGTGGATGGTCGGTGGCGGTCTGGTTTGCGTTGCCGTACGTAGGCGTTGATTTCGTCGTCCCGACGCTTGCGTTGGCCACCGTGCTGTCTCCGTCCCTGCTGGCGTCGATTGAGGTCTGGTTGTCAGCGTAGCACTCGCCATGTCCACCTTGTTCGGTCGTGGCTTGCGATTCCCGAAGCCAAGCGCCATACTCTTCGCTGCCGTTCTCGCTGTGCATGTTGGGCGTGGCCTGTGTTTCGCGTTGAAGTGGCTTGCTGTCTGCGTCGTCGCTACTGCTGCTGGTGCGGCGGTCGTGGTCTGGTGTCTCATTGTTTGTGCTGTCGGCAGCAGTGGGTCTCTGGCTGCTGCGAAGGTTTGCTTGTTGTGTTGTGCGTCGTCGCGGCGTCCTGCGGATCATGCGAAGCATGCGTCCTTGTGCCCGTCGTGGGCGGATGAGGCTCCGTGAGCGACCACGTGTTTGCTCGCACATTACTGTCAGCGTTACAGCACTGCTGTTGAATCGACAGAACCAGTGAGCCAGAGGGTAGTAGTCGCTAGTCAGGTCTTTATTTGCAATGGGTGAAAGATGACCATGATGCTCTTGCGCGGTGGTGAATGTCCGTGTCCATTGGTTCTGCCCTCGTATGTGATGATGACGATATCCGTGTCTTGTACACGTGCTGTGTGTGAGCTCGGCCTCCTAGTCCTTGTCGCATAGCTGCTAGATGCGTTTATTTTGCTCGTGTGAATGACGCGGGGAAATTTGGTTGGTCGGGAACCTTGTCGGCAAACCGTAGGTTGGTAAGCGTGGTGGTGCCGTCGAATCCGGATTCAACTCCCTCTGCTGTCCGCTGCCATTCGGAGACCAGCGGGCCAAGGATGTGTTGTAGAAGTGCGTTGGACATTGCGGGGCTCAGTGGGTCGCCCTGCTTCGTGCCCCGCAGGAGGCTGATGGGTCTGCTGTTGACGTCTGTATTCGCCATAACTCTGTTCCTCGTAGAGCTGGTGGATGAGTGCAATGCATCCGGGTTGCGCACCTTGTGCTTTCCGTGCTGCCCATATGCGCCTGTGCCCAGCTGAATCGAAAGCTTGTTTTAAGTTCGAATACCACCATCCATATCCGTGGTCGAACGGCCTGGTCTGAAGCCCGCCTGGTCGGCAGTCTGGTGGTCGTAGAATGTTGTTCGTAACCTGTTGCATAGCAGTCGGCTGAACAGCTTGTACAACAGTGGTATCGTGCAGGCGGGGCGGTAGTTTGCTGGAGCGTGAGATCTCCACTTGTTGGTATTACAGTGCTGACTGTGCTCTTTCAGCTGGCCAGCGGCGGAGGAGCAGGAAACGACCGTAGAGGGAGAAAGGGAAAGAGAGCGCGGGCCCCGCCGAACCAAACGGTTGTGGCAAGGCGGAGGGCGCGCCTGCCACGTCGGACGAAACGACCACCGTCAGGAAGACCGCAGAAGCAGTTGTTTCGATTCGTGGCGGCGACGGAGCAGGAGGAGGAGGAGGAGGAGGAGGAGGAGGAGGAGGAGTAGAACGACGACGGCTCTAGCAGCCCCGGGGGGGGGGCGTCTCGGAGCGAGCAGAGGCCCACCGAGGCCTGAACGGGGCCTGGGGGTCCGAAGATCTCGATCCTCGATCCTCGACGGCGGCGGCGGCGATGACGACCATGACGGCGGCGGCGCCCCCGGCGGACCCGAATCTGCAGGCTGGCCCCGGGCGCGCCGACGGGGCCGTAAGTGGTGACCTCCCCGCCAAGCAGCGCAGATAAGGTGCGAGGGGAGGGGGAGGAGGAGCAGGAGGGAAAGGAGGAGGAGGAGGAGACGGAGGAGGAGGAGGGAGGAGGTGGAGGAGGAGGAGGAGCAGGAGGAGGAGGAGGAGGCGGAGGAGGAGCAGGAGAAGGAGGAGGCGGAGGAGGAAGAGGAGGAGGGGAGGCGGAGGAGGGGAGGCGGGGAAGGGAGGGAGGGGCGGGAGGGAGGCAGCGGGAGTAGTGGGCAGGAGGATATACGGATGCAGGGCGCAGAGCCCCAGGGCGCCAGGGCGCGAGCTTGTCTTCCTCCAGCGTCGTTGCGCGCAGCTGGAGTCGCAGCGAAACCCCAGCGGGCCTGGGCGTGTGACCCGGGAGAGAGCGGGTGGCCCTAGGCAAGAATGACCTTTGGTGCGCGGCTCTATGGAGCCGCAGGAGCAAAGCCCAACCGCGCGGTCCAGACTCCAGCGGAATGCCACGCGTAGCCGATTCTGCGCCCTCCTCCAAAGACTTCCACAACGACCTCGGACGCCAACAAGTCTGGGTTCTTTCAAGCCCCCCGCCTTCCAAGGGAGAAGCCTCCTTGGAGGCCTCAGATCCTCCCGGCCCAGACCCTCGCCGTCGCGATCTAACTCACAGCGTGAGCCCCCAGAGGCCTGGACCCTTTCCCTCGGACCGGCTTTGTCAGCGTTTTCTTATTCGGCGTTTCGACATTGGGCGGAGGGGGGGAGGGGGGGGGGTGCGTTTTCTTATTCGGCGTTTCGACTGGTGCGAAGAGGAGGAAGAGGAGGAGGAGAAGGAGGATAAGGAGGAGGAGCCATAGGAAGGAGAGGCTCCTCCTCCTCCTCCTCGTTCTCCTCCTTCGCCTCTGCCTCCTCCTCACCCTCCTCCTCCTCGTACTCATCCTCCTCCTCTTCCTCCTCATAGCCCTCACCCCTCACCCCTCAACCCTGGACCAGGAAAGGAGACAGGAGGCGGAGGGAAGAGGAAGAAAAAGGGGAGGAACGAACAGGAGCTAGATCAGAGGTAGCAAGAGGGAGAGGAGGGCGACGACGAGGGTTGGGGAGAAGTAGTGAGAACGACAGCAAGGAGGAGGAGGAGGAGGAGGAGGAGGAGGACGAGGAGGAGGAGGAGGACAAGGACGAGGAAGACTAGGAGGAGGAGGAGGAGGAGGAGGAGGAGGAGGACGAGAAGGAGGAGGGAGAGAAAGAGGAGGAGAAGGACATTGAAGAACGTGGAAGGGAGAGGGCCATTCTCTCATCGGTTCCTCGGCCCATCCGCCGCCGGCGCCGGCTGGGTGCCGCCGCCGACCCGAGACATCCGATGTCTGGATGTTATCAGCACGGTGTCCCTGCCATCGCTCGGACGTCCATTCTCCGAGCATTTGTTCGGTTTCGCGCGCGCGTGTGCGTATATATGTATCTACATAGATAAAAGCATCCCAGATGGGGTCGGAGTAGATGCGGTCGGAGGATCGCGCCGCATCGCCGATACATCGGTGATGCATCAGCGATGCATCGACGATGCATCGGCGATGCACCAGCGATGTATCGTCGACGTGGGCGATGCCTCGGCGACGTCGACGTGAAGCAAAGCAGGCTCCACATCGAGCTGCATCGGCGAATCATCGGCGACGCGGCGCGATCCTCCGACCCCATCTGCTCCGACCACGCCCAGGAGGCCTCGAGTATATGGTTCTCCGCCAGACGATCCAAGAAGCTCCTAGATTTGTTTTATTTGTCTTTAGTTGGTTTATTTGTATTTTACTGTTTTGATCCAAGATGCTCCTGGATGGTCCAGGTTTTCTGGTGCTGGCCTCGCCGAGAGAAGAGCGCAGACGTCCGAGGGGCAGCTTTCCATCGCTGGTCGTTCCTTGACGGCCCCCTCGGGCCTGGCGAGGGCCCCCTGCGACAACGGCGCCTATGCACCGTGCCATGGCTGGACTCCCCTCAGGCCACGCTCCAGCGCGGTGCAGTGCATAGTTCTTCAGCTTCGACGGCCCAGGCAATTTTTGTCCTGGCAAAGGAACCGACCATATGCAGCTGTGGGTAACGCACGTGTGTGACAGTCTTGGGCTCTCCATGGGGCCACGAAACGTGTGAGGGAGGAGCCGACGCAGGGCGGGGGGACGCACGTGGACCCTGCCAATCTGGCCTTCGTTGGAGCACCCTATGGGGCCACGAAACTTGCGAGGGGTGTGCTGAAATTGAGCGGGGGGGCGCATGTGGACCCTTCCACTGGGTCTTCGGGGGAGCTCCCTCTGGGGCCACGAAGCGTGTGAGAGGTGTGCCGGATTGAGCGGGAGGACGCATGTGGACCCTGCCACTGGGCCTTCGGGGGAGCTCTCTATGCGGCCACGAAGCGTGTCAGAGGGTATGCCGAGATTGAGCGGGGGGGCGCATGTGGACCCTCCCACTGGGCCTCCAGGAGAGCTCCCTCTGGGGCCACGAAGATTGTGAGAAGGTGAGCCGAAATAGAGCGGGGGGACGCATGTGGACCGTCCCGCTAAAGCCATCGGTGGAGCTTCCTAGGAGGCCTCCAACACTTTGCGGGGTGTGCCGACATGGGGCGGGAGGAGCGCATGTGGACCCTCCCACTGAGGCCTAGCGTGCGAGGGGTGTGCCGACATGGTGCGGGGGGGCGCATGTGGACCCTCCCACCGGGGCCTTAGGTGGAACTCCGAATGGGGCCGCGAAGCGCGTGAGGGAGGTGCCGAAATGAGGCGGGAAGACGCATGTGGACCCTCCCTTTGGCGCCTTCGGTGGGGCACCCGAAGGGGCCACGGAGCGTATGCGTGGTGTGCCGACGTGGGGCGGGGGGGCGCATGACGACCCTCTCACTGGGGCCTTCGGTGGGGCACCCGAAGGGGCTACGACGAAGCGTGTGACGAGGGTGCCGAAATGGGGCGGGGCGACGCATGCGGACCCTGCTCCCTATGGGGCCACGAAGCGTGTGAGCAGTGTGCCGAAATGGCGCGGGGGAACGCATGTGGACCCACCCACTGGAGCCTTCGGTGGAGCTCCCCATGGAGCCACAAACCGTGTGCGGGTATGCCAGAACGGGGCGGGGGAACGCATGCGGACCCTCCCACTTGGGCCTGCGGTTGGGACCCCATGTGGGGCCACGAAACTTACCAGGGAGGTGCCGAAATGAGGCTGGTGGACATACTTGGACCATGCGGAACTACCTCTGGGGCCACGAAACGCGTGAGGGGTGTTCCGAAATGGGGCAGGGGGACGCACGTGAGCCCTCCCACTGGGGCCTTAACTTACGTGAAACTCCCTATGTGGCTACGAAGCGTATGAGGGGTGTTCCGAAATTGAGCGGGGGGGCGCATGTGGACCCTGCCACTGGGGCCTCAGGTGAAGCTCCCCATGGGGCCACGAAACCTGTGAGGGAGGTGCCGACATGGGCGGCCGCATGTGGACCAGTGGCCTTCGATGGAGCTCCACATAGAGCCACGAAATGTGTGCGAGGTGTGCCGAATTGGGGCGGGGGGGCGCAAGTGGACCCTGCCACTGGGGCGTTCGGTGGAGCTCCCTATGGGGCCACGAAACGTGTGGGAGGTGCGCCGACACGGGGCAGGGGGGCACACGTGGACCCTTCCACTGGGGCCCTCGGTGGAGCTCCCTGTGGAGCCACGAGGCGTGCGAGGGGTATGCCGGGATGGTCGTGCGGAGGGCAGTCAAACCACGGGCGGGAGGAGGGGGAAGCGAGAGGAGGAGGAGGAGGAGGAGGAGGAGGAGGAGGAGGAGGTGGAGGAGGAGTAGGAGGAGGAGAGGAGAGGAGGACAGACCACAGGATGGCTGGACGCTATGCACCGCACCATGGCCCAAGGCCGTCGCCACCTCCGCAGACCCTCGGAGGCCGGCAACGGCACACACACACACACACACCCGCTGTGACTCTTGTTTGCTGCTTCGGCGCGGGCGCGTCTGGGACCAGCGCCGCCGCCCTCGGAGAGCCCGCCGGTCGCCGGCGCTGCTGCGCCCCCCCCCCCCTCCTCCTTGTCCTCCCGCATCCTTGCTCCTTGTCCGCCTCCCTCCCTCTTCCTCCTCCTCCTCCCTCCCTCCCTCCCTCTCTCACTCCCTCCCTCCCTCCCTCACTCACTACCTCCCTACTTCTCTCTCTCCCTCCCACCCTCCCTCCCTCCCTCCCTCCCCCCCTTCCCTCCCTCCCCCCCTCCTCCTCCTCTTCCTCCTCCTCCTCCTCCTCCTCCTCCTCATGCTCCCTCCCCCCCCTCCTCCTCCCTCCTCTGCCCCCCCCCCCCGTGGGGGTGGGCCAGCGTGTCGCCGCCGCTGGCCGGGCGCGCCTCGCCGGCAGGCGCGCCGCCTGTCACGGCCTCGGAGGCGCAGGCACTCGGCGACACTCGGCGTCGAGCAGCGGCGTCGTCGCCGCCGCCGCCGACGACGACGACGACGACGACGGCGACAGCAGATGGCGACTAAGGCAGCGTCGACGTCGACGACGACGAATGCGGTGCCGACGACGACGGTGGCCGCGGAGGCGGCGGATCGGCGCCGAGAGGCGGCGGCATCGAAAACGTAGCACCCCGCAGTTGCGGAAAAAAGTGAGGGGTGTGCGGGGACGTCGGCAGCCTGCGAGGCTCTGAAGAAGCCCGCCGCAGGCGTTAAAGTTTCACAAAGTATACAACGGACGACTTCGCCGCAAGCGCCGATCTTTTCGTGAAAGCAATGTTGGTGGGTCGCCGGGTGGGTCGCAAGTGGGTCGGGGTCGCGGGTGGGTCGCAAGTGGGGACGACAACAAACAACAACAAACAACGACAATCCGCACCGCATAACCTCACTTCAACCACGCGCCCAGGGACAGTGAATGACCGTTCGGCCTCCTCACTCTGATCTTTCCGTGGCAGCATCCATGTACGTTCGATGCTGTCCTCATGAGCCTGCGCGCGCACTGCTCGCATCACGAGCCAAACGACAAGAGGTCGGACGACGGATCCGCAACCAGAATCAAGAGGGGTGAAGGCCGCTGCTGTACTATGCAGCGCTGTACCGCCCAAGCCGAAGCATCAACCCAATAGCAATGTCGAAGCAAATCGCCACATGGGATGGCAATGACGACGACGGAGACCCTGCTTCGGGAGGCTGCTTCCGCCGTTTCTGGAGGTCCTCCTCGCCGCGGCTGCACGCAGCCTGCGGAACTGGCCAGTATGGGCCCCCAGGCATGCGACGTCTTGATCTTCAAAAATCCACCAACCCTGTCGGCATGTGACAGGGGCTGGTCCGTCGGCATCGCCGTCGCTGCCGCCGTCGCGTCGCCACCGCCATCACGCCCCCTCCTTCCCCTGAGTCCGTCGCCGCTCCCCCCCTTTCCTTGGGCGCTCGTTTTCAGGCACGGCAGCCACAGCGAAATACACCAGCCCATCCACAGCGAAAAATTAAGCAACGTTGTCACTGAGTCGAAGGGAAGCCCCTTCCCTTTGATCCCTTCTCCGCGGGGGGGGGGGGGCGGGAAGGGGGCCCAGAGGGAAGTGCCGGCCCGGGGGGGTCCGGGACGGGGGGGTCCCGGGGAGGGGTCCCGGAGGTGGTCCTGGGGGGTGGTCCTGGGTCAGAGTACCACCCTCCCGGGGCCCACGGCCCGCCCTCTCCCTCCCCTTGCCGTCGAGGGCCGAGGCCTCCAGGCAGGGTCGGCGGCACCGGCCGTGAGGCCCGAGTATATACGCCCCCCCCCCCTTGCCCAGACATGCCGGCGCCCACTCCCCAGGACCGGCTTCTGCTCCCGAGAGCGGTCTTTCACGGCCCTGGGGCGCAGAGGCGGAAAAAACGGCGAGAGGCCCTAATTAACGTGAGCTGCTGGACGATGCGAGCGCCGGAGGACGGAGCTGGGGAACGATTTGGCTGGCATCGTCGAAGGTCTGCCTCTCGGCGTCGCCGATCCGCCGCCTCCGCGGCCATCGTCGTCGTCGGCACCGCATTCGCCGACGCCGCCTCCATCATCGATGTCGTCGTCGTCGTCGTCGTCGTCGTCGTCGTCGTCGTCGTCGTCGTCGTCGTCGTCGTCGTCGTCGTAAGCGACGTCGTCGGCGTCCACGCCTTCGTCAACGCCAGCCTGACGTTGTTGTTGTCGTCGGAGGAGAAGGAGGAGGAGGTGGCCGGCGCCAGATGGGGGGCAGGGAGGAGTGAGGAGAGAGGACGGAGGGAGGGGGGCAGGGAAGAGGATGGAGGAGGCACGAGCCGGTGGGAGGCTGGAGGCAAGAGGCATAGCGAACTGACACAATCGTCTTGGTCCGCCCCAGCCTCGGCTCCGGCTCCGGCCCTGGCCTCGGCCTTGGCCCTCCTTTGGCCCCAGGGCCCTAGGGCCCCGGCCCCGTGGCCTCCCAGACGCCCGCCCCCGAGGAGACACACGGCTCTCTTCTCCTCGTCATCCTCCCCCTCCCCGTCCTCCTCCCCGTCCTCCTCCTCCTCCACTTTCTCCTCCTCCTCCTCCTCTTTCTTCTTATCCTCCGCCCTTTTTTTTGTTCCTCCTTC